TTTCTGTATTTTAAACCAGAACCGACGATTCAACCGCTGGTTCGACGCATCTGCGTTCAACCTTAGGTCGATCTACCTATTGAAATGTCAACCGGACGTTAACAGCATATCCTAAACCTAAATTTATTGTTTACATTTGTCGGAACGGTGTACTTCGTCTGCTTATATTTTACCTACTTGTATTATTATAAGCATTTTCAACTAACTATAAAACGACGATTTGAAATAAAATGTCGTCTTCTTCACTTCCACCTGAAAATATACACGGCAGATTACTTTGGCAAACTAGCAGTGATGATTCTTCAGATTCGGAAAATGAGAATCGAGTGACAAGTCTAAATTTTAGACAACTGCTGTGAGCTCTTGTGAATTGAAATTTAGAAGGCTCGGTGCCCCAAACACAGGTGTTTGTGCAGGGTGTTCGTCATAACAAAAAAATGCATCGCTGGTGTTGGACGTACAAATGCTAACTCAGTCGTGCTTACATTATTTGTTGCCCCCAGTTTGCTTAAGATATCTGTGAACATTTAGATTTGTTTCTGAAGGAGCTCTTCGATTTGGCCTGTTGCGTTGATCGGTAAATCTGCAGTGTGTGGTTGGCCATTTATTTGGTTATGCTTCTTCGTCAGCCGAAAACAGCTCCTGGCTTCCCCTTTTTTGAGGTGTGGACGTTATGCTAGTCTGATCTTGATCTTAGGCCCGTATCGTCAGTCGACCCTACAATTGTAGGGCGCGTTTATGGCCTCCTTGATTGTCATACTTCTTTCTCTCCTTCAAAAATTTCTAAATTACACTTGTCCCGTGTCAGCGTCAGCGCTCTGCTAATGTGAAGATTTATTTTCCTTTTAAATTGAAGGAAATTTCAGGCTGGTAAAACATGATATAACTTAAAACCAAGCACAATTTGATGCAAATTGATGTTTGTGACATAACCTCAAAATAGAGCGCTGACCCGGAGAAGTAGAAAACTATGACAATCAAGGAGGCCATAAAGGCGCCCTACAATTGTAGGGACGACTGACGATACGGGCCTTAGTCTTGGCTTCAATCTTTTTGAAACATTCACGAATACATTGCAATTGTCAGCATGGATTTTTTCTTCAATCGAGGCTAGAGTCCATCTAAGGAGTTTCCTTCTAATATTCTTAAATACTCTCAAAAAAAAACCTAATAAAAGTCCTGCAGAAATCGAGATAAAATAATACTCTTAGGGGGTAGTAGGTAGCAACGCCTGGACTCACTGGACGTGATAAGGGTACAGTTGGGCTCATGTAAAATGCGCCACGCTGCTTCATGTGACACTTCTGGGACCTGTTGGGCTAACTGCTTTGTGCTTATTCCCGGATTTTCTTTTACAATATCCAAAATTTCGTCTTCGACATTCAAAACGCGCAGTGGGCGAACCCCATCCACTCCACATCTGGGGCGCAAATCTCCACTAGCACGTGCACGTAAAACAATTGAACTAAATGTTTCCTGATGTGGTATGTGCCTATTCGGAAGTCGGTGTGCATACAAACGAGAAGCCGCTCGCGAATTTTGCCCTGCTTCTCCGTACGCTAAAACAATGTCACATGTGCCATTTTTATTAATAAATAACTAAAAACATAAACTCGCAAAATACTTTTTTATTTAACTTCACAAAAATCGACTGTTTTTACACGTTCTTATCAGTATGAAAAAACAAAAAAATCCTGGTATTTTGTTTTCGTCAGTTGTTTGGTACAACATTTGCTACAATAAATTATTAATGCGTGTTTTAATATCACGACGATGAACGCAAAATACAGATCTTTATTTTTCAATTTAGTATTGAAACTCGGGTCTATAACTTAATTTCTGTGGGACATTTATTACATTTTTTTTGTCGGATAAGTTATGAAACACTCTGTATGTATATTCTCAGACTCAGTCAGTCGTTACTACAGGCAACACAATATTCTCACCAGCTTCGAGGCCGGTCGGAAATCGTATCGTTAAAATGACCAACTCACTGACCTGGTTAGCGTTACAGCTCGCCGTTCGGCCCGATCCAGGCTCTGTCGGTTTTTCAGCGCAACATCAAAGGAATGGCTCGCGACGAAGTTGCACATGTTTGGACAGGCATATCGGTGCGGCAAACACCAGTGTGTTACTTTGTAATGTACTTAGAAGTAAAATATTTATTTTTCTTACTTGTATATTTTCCTTTAAAACTTCGATCAATGCCCCACAAACTTCTGGAATGATGTAGTTGATCGATTGATTTGAAATTCGAAACATGTATTGCAAATTACTGTCTAAATCACTCGTCGCTAAAAATTGCAAGTCTTTCTTGTACTGTGATGGCAGCTCTCTTACTTGTTGAAATTTCAATTCCGCTATCAAATTGTTGCAACCGTGTGATGATCTATTGATAACTGCGTTTGCCACCATCGTCTCGGACGTCGTCGTCGCTTGTTTTTGGATAATCCGTAGTGAATATCAATATAGGCAGCCGCTCCTACTTCTATATCCATTTCCGCTAGTATTCGTCTTTCAGTGAACGACAAAGATCAAAATTGGATCGTCATTTTGTTGCGCGATGTGGTTGCACGACGTCGTTCGGTTTGCGGTGATGTTCGTTGTAATGTTGTTCGTCAAAATGCGCGCGCTGCGGTTCGTCGAGTGGTTCGGTTCGTGGTGTTGTTACATATCTGTACATGGCTTTATGCGTCACAGCAAATCAAAGGTAGACGGAGAGGGGCGGGCAGGCAGAGGCGTAGCACAGATCGCTAAATATTTTCTTTTTTCGTCTGAAAAATTTTTGTGTGAGGTAATCTTCTCCATTATACAATGTCATTTCTATATAAAATGATTCTCTGTCGTCCTCGTTTTTGGCTGTGTCCAGATCACCCAGGACTTGATCTGGCACGAACACATCTCGTCAGTAGCGGAGCTGGTGGAAAAAGCTAGGCTGTTTGGTTAGTGCCACTTTTCTTCGAGTACTCCTCACATGTTTGGGGTGCTGCTGCCTCGACTACAATACCCATGCTCGATCCCTTTCAGAGGAGGGCTGTCCAACTGATCGATTACTCTTCTCTAACGGACAGTTTCGGGACCATTTTGCATCGACGGGCCGTCGGTGATCTAGCTCTCTTCTACCACTACGTACTCCTACACTCACGCAGAACTATATAAACGCTCCGCTTGGACTCACCGGTCTTTACGGCAACCTCTTACTGGGTGGACGTGCATGGGTTCATCAGCAGTGTCTGTACCAGACATCTCCAATGTAATACAATCAGGATACCTAGAAAACGAGAGAGCAGCGAAAGCAGAACGGGAACAAGAACATTAACAACAATAAAAGCAACAATTACTCACATAGCGGTAAAACGCATTAGCAACCCAAATTCGCGCACACCAGCATACAGGCAAGTGAAGTATGGATCCAAGCCTGTCCTTTTTATCACCGACAGCGTGCTACCACGCCCATGCTTGCCAATCGGTCAAACAGGGCACTGCATCACCGCCTTAGCCTATTGAAGTTTGGACCTAACTGCCCGTCGAATATGAATTTGGTATAGCCAGTGCGCGCATCGTCCGAAGAAGTAAGGGCATACGGGGAGGGAAGGATTATGGTGGTAAGGGACTGAATGTTTCTAAATCAAAAGTTATGATTTTTGGACCAACGCAGAAAGTGAAAATCTATATCGGCTCAACATCAACAACATTCCTTTACCAGAAGTAACTGTAAGCAAAAATCTTTATGGTTGGATAATGAACTAAAATTTGACCATCATATAAAGGAGTTATGTTCAAAATCTTTTGGTATCCCCAATTATATCCTCAAAGACATAAATAGTAAATTAAAATTACAGCTGTGTGATTCACTAATAATTTCAAGGATATCTTATTGTGACGCAGTATATGGACCCGCTTTATTGCAAAGTGATAAGATCAAGCTGCAGCAACTCCAAAATTCTTTTTTCCGTTATTGTCTTGGCCGTAGAAGATACGAACGACCATATCAGTCATGTTTATAAGGAAAACGGAAAATTGAATTTAGAAAATCTTAGAAACTAGCATTCACTATCTTTACTCCATAAGACGTTAATGAATAAGAAACCAGAGGACGTTCTCAATAAGCTACAAAAATTTGAAGATGTTAACAACTTAGCAACATAGTCAATCTCTAGTTATACCCCACCACTCTACATCGTTATAAAAGAAAAGCTTTTCATATATTGCGACCAAACACTACAATAATCTACCGAGTACCGCAATTACAGTCTAATAAATTTCAAGAAAAAATCAAAAGCAATGCTTCTATCCGCCTCCTCTACCTGATAATAATGAAATTAATTTTCAAAAATTCAGCAAGAATAAGACTGACTAGGATTTTTCGAATCATGATTTTATATTAAATGACTTAAAATTTAAACATGTATACCTACTTGTATAGATTTAAACATTATTAGGCAATTATCACAAATCACATGTATTCATTATTTTACTACTCTATTCTTATTGATGTTTGTAATTTTATTTTATGGCTGAGTTGAAAAATACCTTAAGGTAACACTCCGCCATTTCGATTCTTTAATCCCAAAATTTTAGTACCTTACCCAAAATATGTATTTGTAAAAGAATCGAATAAAGGCATGTTATTATTATTTTTATTATTATTAATTATTCTCACTAATAATTATTATTATATAGCTACCGTGGAATCCAAAATAAATTGTTAGGTCTTGAAATGAGTAGCATCAGTGGATGGAAACACAGAAGAAAAGTAATATGAAGTTAGTCACTCTTCCCGACACAGTCCGGATCCAAAGATAACGATACTCGTGAAATGTATCGATACACCCAAGTAACGCATATAAAAATATCGCTCCAAAATATCAATTATCAGAATCATTCTAAATATCTGATCGTATCGAACACCCTAATACGCTTTGTCACCGCTGTAGATGGAGGAAATAATCGCAGCGGTGAGGCTTATGGCGATACCCGAAATATCAATTTTCTCCCTTTAGAGGAAAATTGTTCTATTAATTATTTTTTCATTTCAGGAACATGGGTTGGTTACAACTTTTTGGATTTATGTGTACGGCAGGCATCAGCATCACACAAATTGAGTCATATATGTTGAATGATAATCCAAATGGCACCATCATAAACACAACCAAGGGTTTTACCTATAATACAAACTATGACTCTAAATATTACAGCCCTAATTATAATACAAATTTCAATACGAATCGCAATCCAAATTATAACTCCAACTTCAAAACAAATTACAACCCTACCAGTATTACAAATTATGGAAATTCTGGAAATATAAATTACAATAACTCAGGAACATACGGTGGCTACTATTCATATGGAACATTGGATGAGTTGGAGTGTCCTGAGTATTGGTTCCATTTCCAGAAATCTTGCTACCGATTCATCAGATCTCCATTAAAGTCTTACCTAGATGCCAGAAAACTATGTCAGGTTGGTATCGCATCTACAATTAACACAAGTACTTCCAAAACGATAGAAATGACTAAAATCCCGCTGTCATCGTTACGAAACGACTACAAGCCTGGCTTCAAGTTGCAGTTCTAGCCAACTATAAAATTCCATAATATCACTACTAGGAGTGTAAAAAATAGTCTGGTTGACACTGATAAATAAAAATATACGGGGGCCCAACGACTCATGCCCAAAACAAAGAGTATAGCATTTGTCAGAGCCCTCTTAGGAAAAATGGGTTAAATCACCTTCTCAAGAGATATATTTTATAATGCATATATTATATTATTATAAAATAATTATATTAAAATTTTGTGTGTGTTTGAAAATGAAAATACGTATTTTAAGACACACGCACACGCAAAAAAATTTTTAAGCTTTAGTAAACTCTTTTAACGGTAATCTCGAGCTTTCGGTTTCTCTATGGAACCATCCTCAGGAGCTGAAACACAAATATGAAGCTAGCCACCAATACGGAAAGGATTTAAATTTAAACTTACTTGTCGCTGAGGTTGCAGCCAAATGGTGTTTCAAAACGAAAGCGTGGAGAGCACTTGTTGCAATTATAAAACCAAAAGGACGGACACATTGGGTTTATTTATAACGACGGAAACCATCGTTAGGCGTTAACACTATATATCAATACACCCGATCACATTAACAATTATCGAACTGCAATTTTGGGAGAAAACATGCTACATCTATTTCACGTGGAGAAAATGAGCGAAACCGGAAGAGTGATGCGTCGACAGATGACAGATGACTGTCGAAATGTATAAAAATCATTGCCAAATTTTAGCTCTAATGTATACGTAAACTCATCATATTTCCCAAATTGCTGGATTAAATTTGTTTTGGAAAAGTGTACTTCATATGTGTGTAAGATGGTGATACACGCTTGAAAAGATGGGTTGTATGAATATATATTAATATTTATTATTGTTGTGAGATATTGTTTCAATTAACAGGATAAATAATTGGATTTAGGTTTTAATTTTGGGAGGATGTTAAATCAACTGGAATATGTAGTCGTTCTAACTTTTTACAATTCAACAAGTAAGAATAAATGACACTGAGCTGCTTAACATCAGCCTTTTCATTCATACAATGATCTGTCATAAAAAGCAGCAACCAACAATTTGGGAAATATGATGAGTTTTTTCAGAGCGTCCCTCGTATACACTAGACCTGAAATTTGGCAATGATTTTTATATGTCAATCCTTTTGGTTTTATAATTGCAACAAACGCTTTCATCCATGTTTTAAAACACCATTTGGCTGCAACCTCAGCTACGAGTAAGTTTTCTTTAAAATTATATCCTTTCCGTATTGGTTGCTGGCTTCATATTTGTGATGATGGTTCCATAGAGGACCGTTATAAGAGTTTACTAAAGCCTAAAAAAATTTGCCAATTTCCCAATTAATAATTATATATATATATATATATATATATATATATTTTGAGACGTGGTCATTGTCGTCTAGACCAGTTAGGTGAAAAATTAAAGCTTCCGCCTTTTGTTGGGTACTTCGACAAAATTTAAGCAAAGAGGACTCTTTATACTTTTTTTAATTCTCTCTAGCTTTCAATGGACTTTGCCATCATCATCAGGAGAGTAGTATGTGAGGATGTTGCTAATTGTTGTTTTTGTATAGGATGAGGGAAACGTCCAGTAATATGGTGAGAGAGAAATTTTTAATCTGTCTTTAACTTGTCTTGTCATATTTTATATAATTTTAACCATTGTACCATGTATCCAGCTCTCACCATGTTACTGGACGTTTCCCTCATCCTATACGAAAACAACAATTAGCAACATCCTCACATACTACTCTCCTGATGATGATGGCATAGTCCATTGAAAGCTAGAGAGAATTAAAAAAAGTATAAAGAGTCCTCTTTGCTTAAATTTTGTCGAAGTACCCAACAAAAGGCGGAAGCTTTAATTTTTCACCTATATATATATATATATATATATACTTTGAAGTTGAGTCATTAATTTTCAGATAATGATTGTAGAAGGAAGATGAACCAAAATATGTGTGTAAAAATAAAAAAAAATAAAAAAAAATTTTTACCTTGTTTTATAAAGTATCCTCCCGACAAGTATTTCAGTGCGGACCTGTATTTGATCGTGAGGTCTCCTGTGAGGTCTTAAGTCACTTGATTCACGAGCCCGTTGTACTACATTAACAAAGGCACGAGGGGTTGGTTGCACTCGATTGGGAAACCGATCCGCATAAACATGTGCCATTTTTTATTTCGTTTGAGCCACGCAACAGACACTATTCACATGCCTTACCGACTGATACTGACTGTATGTATAACTGAACTGAAGAAAATAATTGTAAAACATCGTTCCAAATTCTTTCGCTTTTTTGTTTCCGATGCGATGAACCGAGGCGGATTATATCCGTTGTTGCCAAACACGAGCACATGATATTACGAGTATTATTGAACAGAGCGGTACTCAAACTTCCAAAGGGCTATAACTTTGTTACTTTAATTTTACCAGAAAAATGGTAAAGGAAAAAAACATTTCTTTTGATCAGATCTACTCACTGTTAAAATAAATGACTCAACTTCGAAGTCACCCTGTATATATATTTATATATATATATATATTTATATATATATATTGTTTGATCACGACATACCGATATTTAAGGGGGGTATTTTTCAGCTATTTTTATCGAGAAATCCACCCCCTACAATGTCCTACCTAACCCCTGTTGAAATGGCAGCCATTTTTATTTTTACGTTACGATTACGCTAATGCATGTAAGAAAATTGTAATAACTGAGTACATAAGTGTTACAGAATGATAAATTTAGTGTCATTTGAAGTTGAACGAAAACGTGTTGCCCTGGCGATTATTGAAAAACTTGTATTGATTCTAACCGTCATACATACTTAAAACCATAAAAAAATATGCAAGAAAATTGATTATTTTCTGCATTTCCGCACACCATTCAAAAACTAGTCTGTGAAATTGTACTTTTTTGTGCTAATTCTACAGCTAACTATGTTATCTAGAGAAGGTCATCAAATTTGTTATCCTAAGTCTTCTACGTTAAGTAATAGATGCTATCTAACCTTGGTCAAAATGGGTGTAATAAAATGCAAATTGCTTTCAAACTTTTTATACATAAAAATGACAAATCAATGTTTCTCTTGAAGAGTTTCGACATGTTCAATGTTACAGAAGCTGTTCAAAATGTCCTCCATTATTGATTATGCACATTGTTGCTCTTAAAACCATGTGTCGTGTTGAGCGGCGGACTATATCCGTGTCATCTCTAATTCCGTTCGCAGCAGTATGGATCCTTTCCACGAGCTCTTTCCATGCCTCCGACACATGACAGTAAACTTTTTGCTTTATTGTGCACCAGAAAAAATAATCTAGGGGCATTAAATCGGGTGAGCAAGCGACAGTGCTTCCACGACCTGTCCATGGGGAATATTGCCCATCGAAATGTTCTCGTACAATTCGCGCAAAGTGTGCGGGAGCTCCGTCAAGCTGCAACCTCATGTTGCGGCGGTTGATGAGTGACAGATCATAGAGTAGATCTGCAAACTCAAGGACTCCAAAAATCCCTAGGCATTTAACCTTGGAGATAGCTCAACAGGGCCGACTGAGACTCCGTATGAGGGTTTTCCGAAGACCACAAGTGGTCGTTTCTATGGTTTATGGTCCTCTGCCTCGTAAATTTTGCTTCGTCCGTCCACAGAATTTTTCCCCAAAAGTTGCAGTCTTGACGCAGCTGCCGTTGAAATGGCTCACGAAGATCCTGAACTCTTCTAAAATGATAGGGATGTAAACCTTCTCTCTTAAGGACTCTCCAAGCCGACCGATGTGACAAGTGTAGTCTTGCGGCGATCCTCCTCACACTAACTCTTGGATCTCGGGTAAGCATGTTGAGAATCTCTTCTTCATCTTATGGAGATAGTAGCCGACACCGGTTGTTTACTGTCCTTTGAATCCCACTTTCCACTAGTCTCCGGTATGTAAAGACAAAAGTCCTAACATTTTGCGTAATTCGGTCAGGATATCGTCCTCGATATTCTCTCACAGCAACGACGGCACTTCCATTGCAAAAGCCGTAAACAAACACCATATCAGCAGCATGGTGATTTAAACATTTATTACGTGGACGATTTGGCATGATAGAGACTTTTAGGCATGACTAATAAAATGTTCAGTCACAAATCACTTCCAACTCAAATACGTTCACAAAATTGATATTGAAACTAGTCAGCAATGGAAACAAAATGGACGTATGTACACAACGCGTGGCGAGGGACTACAAAACACTCACTATGACATTGACAACAAATAACCGGTTGTTACCATCGCGATAACGAGACCTTTCGGTAGATGTTGTCTCACTCACACTCCACAACCAATTTTCTTGCATGTGTTTTTCTGTTTTTAAGTATGTTTGATGGTTAGTATCAATACAAGTTTTTCAATAATCGCTAGGACAACACGTTTTCGTTCAAGTTACTGATAATTAAATCTTTTAATTCTGGGAAATCAAACTCAGAAATTGCAACTTTGTTAGACTTATCGCGGTACAGTGGGAGAAATATTGTTAAAAGGTATAACGTAACTGGTACAGTTAAGCCACGATATGTGAAAAAAAGTAATATCACAAATGCCGACCGAAGAGCATTAGGAAGAATAATCGTGAAAAACAGGCGTGCCAATTATTTACAATTAAGTGCTCTGTGGAGTGACGCTGTTGGAAGGAGAATTTCGAGGTCCACAACTCATAGAGGGGCCCATAAACTGGGATTTAGCACTTGCAAGGTAAGTTTTCTTATTAAAAAAAATTGATGTAAAAACCCTAAAGTTGCACAACTTGTTTATAGGCCAAAGAAAAGCCACTATTAACTCCACTGTAAAAGAAAAATCGGCTTAGATGGGCTAAAGAACATAGACAACGGATACCTCAACAATGATGTGCAATACAAT